CTCTATAAATACTGCATACATATACTCGAAATCCCTGAGATCGGGTAGGCGTGGCTGCATTCTTCAACTTAACCTGAAGGTTCTATGCTTCTGGTGAGATATTTTCATCTTGACACAATTGTTGTCGTGTCTCTGTCCAACACAGAACAAGATGACAGTTGTCCCAGACTGGAATATTCCACGAGTAACCAGTTCCGTGCCATGTTCAAATGCCACGCCTACTCTGGCTCAGGGATAGGGAGTGTACATCAACGGGATGGGTCAATTGGTGGTGCCAGTACGATCCCCACCCTCACCTCTACGGAATTTCTACATCTCATAAGACACTTCTTCCACCCTATCTACCGTCTCCCTAAATTTGCCATTGAGCGCAGAGGATAACGGGGATTAGCTATGTAGATAGCTTACTTTAAATAGCAGTAATAGGACATAGTATTCAGGGTCAGCTAAGTGAGAGCATATAGCGCTCGTGGCAAAGAAAAAACCAGCAGCTGAAAAAAATTCGTCCATAGGCGAATTATTACTCCCCTCTCCGATATCCACCAAATACGATCCTCCTGAAGGGTTGCGCACGACGGTGATGTGCGGTACCTGCACCAATCAGCACAATCAACAATCAGCACTTGCTGTTTCATATCTGTGTTCTCCATGCTACATCTAAAGGGAGGGGGCACAACGGCTAGGGGCGGGCGGTTGTTACGAACGTCATTGGTGGAAGGACTAAGTGATGTGTGGCTAAACGCTTTCTAGAAGCCCTTCCACCAATGACGGTGGTAACAAGTGCCCTGCTCCACCAATCGTGCCCACTGCCTTTGGCTTATCGTAGTGATCGCTGTTTTTTCCTCTATAGAATCTGTGTTCAACCCCCAAGCGCCCTCTGTTACAGACTTTGCTAAACATTTTGGCAGTAGAACCAGCACATTCCCACAATGGAACGTGGGCGAATGTTGAAGGTATGCTGGCGAGTGGCTGGGAAGAACGGCCGAACAGCGACAGATTTAACGACGTTTCACAAATTTTCTGCTCATTCATAGTGATCATATTAGCTTTCAGAGTATTATATTGAAATGACTTGTGATTTGATCTATTGATCCCGATGAGCACTCGTGCGTGAGTCATAGATTCCTATAATATGACGTTTTTATACGTTTACCTTCTCATATTTTTGTGTGTCATAGCTATGACGATACGCCTAGCGTAACCATATGCCTTACTTCCAAGCGATTGGTAGAAGGGTTGTCGTCGATTAATACCTCCTCAGGTACATTCGCTCAAAAGCGGATGCCAATCCATTTAAAGGTTGTAGAACGGTGTTCCATATAGGGCTATAATGAGAAAATGATCAGTTCCTGGTTTTAGCCCATCAGCAATACTGTAAAGAGTTGGCCTACTTTGTTTGAGGGTCTGACTACTGTAGCGCTGTCTGTCTATTACCCATGCCGGGACTGTAATCAGCCGCTACAACCTGTACAACAATTTAAACTTTCTTGGACTTTAGCGTTGGATCGAGTATGACGATAACTTCTCTCCTCCAGTCATAATCATTTATTGAATTATGATTTCAAACTGCATTTCAAACGAACTCACTAAACCAGTTGTCGATCCGGTATACATACGAATGTTCGCAGTTCATACCACAGCGTTGAAGGGGTGTGTCCACGAATTTAGCGCGACTACGGTCGCGTACCGTGGAATGTGTCAGTTCAAAGCCATCCTGCGCTGAGCTTTTCTTGTAGTGCCTGTCCCCTTTTTTACAGACGCTGTCCACGGCTTTGTCGTGAAAGGGAACATTCCCCAGATACGCAGCCGCCACCGCTCCCAAAACTAAGTGCGTGAGCACGCCCCCTCCAGTTGCCGTGATATGGACTGCATGTGCTTAACACTGCATATATCTAGTGACTATCATTGAAAACCCATTTCTGGTGGGTATGTGTTGATCTTTTAGGATTTTCTGTTTTTTTTTCTCGACGACATGTTGCCTCATTTTTATATGTGTACTTTGTGTAACGTTGTGTCTTTCGCCTTGAACAGAACGCCGTTAGTCTACAGACTTTAAGCTTTCTCATCATTGTTTTCGCTAAATTGAATAAATTTTATTGCTGAACAGTACATACTAACTCATATACATATACATTGATTTTTACGGGAATCTTACATGTAATTGAACAGATACCTCAGTGTAGGAATTTGGGAATTTTTTTTCTCGGAAAAAAGATACGGTAATTCGTGATTAGAAAATGTGAAGGCCATTATTCGAGCAGTAGATCTGGCTCCACTTGATTCCATTTAGGTTTGTACGCGTATGAAGTCGCATGACCTCTTTTCTTTCCGAAGCATTCTGTAAAAGTCAGGTTGGTGAAAGAAAGTGAAAAACCTAAGGAAAAGTTGGTGGTTTTGCTGGAAAAGAGATGCATTTTAGTCCCATGCCCTTCACTTCCCGCAAACTGCGGGAACGCACGCCTGTCAGGGGACACGAAGAGACAATCGCTATTCTTCGCGTCGTCGCGCTCGGCGTATCGTGCGGCCATAAAGCAGCGTTCAGACTTCTCGACGGCGGTCTTCGGTCGCGCGTTCGAGTGATTGGTCGCGCTAGCGTACGACTGTGTAACGCGACTGATTAGATCGCGCTGCAGTGCTAAATCAACTGGACTTAGCTTCTAGCTCCCACACTTAGCCTGAAAAACTCACCGAAGTAGAGCGATCTAATCAGTCGCCCTACACAGTCATAAGCTTGAGTGAGCGACGCAACCGTACGCTACCGCGATCGATCGCTCGAACGCGCGACCGAAACGCCGCCGTCGCGAAGTCTGAACGCGGCTGCTTAAGCGGCTCGTATGAATTATAGGTTCTATAATGGCTCTACACGAGGCTCTATAATGGCCGACATCAAATTCTCTCGTCGCTTAGCACGAAAACTCGTCTGTCGGGCGGGGCGTTTTCCCCACGCTCACCAGCGCGGAGTTACGATTGTCTTGTCACATAACCAGCTGTCCTTGGCTTCACCCAATTACTGTACACTGTACCAAGGTTTCTGCGTGTGAACCCCATGACCGACATTCTTTTTCTGATTGTCGATTCCAAGAAAGATTGCTAACAACGTGAAACAATTACCTCGATGATCCGCTGAGTAACATCGTGAGATTCAAACCTCAAGAACATTTTACATTCATTACCATCTATATTCTCGGCAACAGATGAGATTAGTTGTCTGAAATGTATGATGACTTCCAGAAGAAGTTCTAAAAAAGGAAAATTCCAACTTGAAAGATTCTTCGTCGTCAGCGTAACAGGCTAGTATACGATTTTTGCAGGCAAGTGCGTATCCACATACTACTCCAGCACGTAATGCCACTTTTCCAACTACCTGCAAAGCTTCTAATTATTCCTATCGCTCCTGTCCTAGGTACTTAAGATCAATATTCCGTTCCAGCTCTGAATTCCAGTGAAGTTTGGGCACCTCCAGGTAACCCTTCATCTACTTTACTGTTCACCTCCCACGGAGAAAGATGGTGAGAACAAGACACGGATCCTTCGGGTTTGATCTCACAGAACCGACTACAACCGCTATCAGAACTGGTCACTTTACTCTCTGATGTTACCTCCTCATACAACATTAAAATACGAAAAAAAACAGCGTGTTCGTTTTGATCGCAGCGCTGATTTATCAAGCTCTCAGGTCAAAACATACAGTCCATACTGCGGAGATGGGGAGGCGTGGCTGCGCACTTCATTTGAACATGGCGTAGAATGAGTTTATTTTACATTTTGTTCTCGGACAACTGTCATCCTGTTTCGTGTTGGAAAAAGACCCTCATACAATTGTTCCGAAATTAAAATATTCCATCTGAAGCGTGGATGCCTTCACGTTCAACTGAGGTACAGCCTTGTTCGCTGCGGATGATGGGGAGTGTCAGTGGATGGGCTTGGTCCAGTGACAAACCCGTTTTTCACGAGTTGGTGAAGCAAGCAAGTGACATGGCTGTATCCTATCGTTCCTTTCAATCGCTTTCTACCAACTGCTGTCGCTTACGCACTTACTCCGCCACCAGATGTTACATTTTGTACTTGGACGACGAGCTGGTGGCTCGCCAAACCCAGCCTCACTGACACCCCCCCCCCCATCGTCCGCAGCCCAAACAAGCCTGTACGTGAAGCCTAACGCTTTTTCACGGTTTTGAACTGCACCTAATGCATCAAACATCGGGCGCTGACTGTGGTGATAGCGACAGTTTACACCATCTATGTGAAAGGCTTCTAGTTGGTCTTTAGGGGTGGGGGCCGTATTTAGAAACTGAGCAGCATTTTTTCGATTGTTGACTTCTAGCAACTCAGGCGCTGTATACCCCTTGCTCGGCAACAAAATGTTGGGAAACCTTGTGTCGAAGGCGAAGTAGGCCACAAAATTTGGTCCTACCTTCCCCACACTTTAGGGGCAGGGAACGAGTGGTACCGGTACTGCAATTTCACATAATTCGATTATTTACCCAGGCTAACGACTCCTGAAGGATGGCGTCCCTATACCCTTTCTCAGCCCCTCTATACAGTCGAACACGAGAATGCTCACTGGATTCAAATTTAAAATGAAACCGTGGTCAGGAGACCTGTGTTGCGGGTGTGCATCGAAAGATGCGTCACGTGTGCGGGCAGTATTGGCAGTATTGCACAGTATGAATCACATTATAAGGACCGCAGTGAATATGAGTAATCGCGCCGTAACGGGCATAGTGACCCAGTTATTGCGCGTCGCCCGATACCATCATTTTCCCCTTCGTAGCTCTATTGCTGTTCGATATTGGCTATACTTTTCCAAATTGAAAGTGGTTTTTTTCTTAAAAACCACTAAAAATCACCGTACCCCTGGAGTGTGAACCAGAGCTGTGACGTGCTCAGTTCGGTCATATATCGAAGTTTCTGCATCATAGTCAAGCACAGGTAGAAGATCGGTTTCGTTAATAGGCTCCGTCACCATCTCAGCGGCTTCATCAGCGAGTGAAAGCAGGTACGATCTGAATGGTCATAACATATTAAAACAGACATATACTACTGTGAAAACCACACGATTATAAGATCAGGGAAGCAGGCGGTACACAGTATTCCCGAAAATCGCGCGTATAGTTAAATATTTCGTTCCCGTGAAAGCACACAATTGGGCAAGGAGCTACGGGGATGCCAAGAAAGGAGAAAGGAGCTGCACCTTTTCCCACCTGGCCAGGGGCTGCCTAGGCGCAGTCTGAGTGTATTGTGTGCACTCGTTGCTCCTACGCATTCAGTTTTACGCGCAGTCTGTGGTGCTGTATGCCGTCAGTTCCCCTACTTGTAATATAGGGTGAAAACCATCACACTGCTCCTACTGTGGCGTGTGCATGCGGTAACCTGTGCCACCTACACTCTTTATGCCTCATGTAGTTGCCATGCCTATTAGAGATGCTGGGAATGGGGTTCCGTCCACGCTTTCCAGTGGCGCGGGGTTTGGAATGTGTCGCCTCATAAATAGCGTGACCGCTCGTCTATATGATGCATGACAAATGATCTTTGGATCGTAGAGAAATGTAACCTGTTCTATATTTTGAGTACAGTATACTTTCGGTGAACAAGACTAAAGTATACTCCCTGTGCCCAGGTTTCGTTTCAACGAACCTCTTCAGCGCTCCTTACCTGTTCACTAACACTTCTTCGAAGCGGTGCTTGTCACATACAACAAATCCGTTGATATCACGCCATTGCGCAATAGCCTCTTCTTTGGTTTTGCTGAAAGAAGTTCAAAAAATGTAAAACGAAATGTAAATAAAAAAATTCAGAAAAAAATGACGCTCACTCACTCATTGTTCATGAGAATATCGACCGTGATATTTTTGTTGAGATCTAGGTTTGTTTTACCGAGAGTATTCTCGACAAGCGCATCGAACAGATGGAGTATCGTCGGCCTTGACAGAAGAATAGATGATTGGGATGAAAATTCATATTTTTTTCACATTCAAAAGGTCTTACATTAGTCATCTGTTTCATGTGCAAGTGAAACGGTCAAGCAGCTGGTGTAAGCTTTCCTCCGCCACTCCAGGAAAATTTCAGAAATGAGGCCGAGGGGCAGTAGTAAGTAGATGTCATAAGGGGCTCCACCCCCTTACGAAAGATGCAGAGACGCAACACGCCACACTATCAGCCATATGCCTAGCCAGGTCCATCGCACACTAAAATCTGACACTTGTTCCCACCGATTCGCCTTGAAGAGCTGTGGCTTGCTTGTAACGGTCTGCTAACTCTTCATGTTATGTCGGCTGGCGGACACGGCTACATCCGTGCGGCCTCGGTTCACTTGTGGGCCTGCTGTGGCCCACGCGGCCTGTAACCAACTGACGCACTTGTTGCACGCTGGGGTAGAGACCGAAAGGGCATTCTCCTCACGCTGCGCTCTAGCCTTATAATATTTCCGCGCCCTTTCGAGATGCAAAGGGGCTTAGTTCTGCTTCTGCGCATCCCTTCAATGTGTTTCTGGGCTGAGCGCAGGATGATCCATATCAAAAAAAACTGCGAGAGCTGATCTAGTAGGCAGACGAAGATATTTAACATTGACCCTGATAGATCAGTAAGAACACCCGTCAATCGAATAAGGTATGGCGCTATGTGTTGTCGGACAAATATGCGCACACTTGTCAGTGATCTGAAATGAAGGAGCTACCCCATAAAGTTAATCAGAGATTATCATTAGAATCTTCATAGCTATTGAGAGTTACGAGATCTGTGCTAGTTACAACTGCTTTGACTCACTCGATAGATCCGTGCCTCCTTCCTGGAGTTCGGTGCTTCCTCAATCCAAATTGTGTTGGTTTTTTTGTGACCATTCATCGACGATCTCCAAGGAACGCAGTACCGCCTGCCAATTAGATTTTGTATGTACTGGAAATGCCTAAGTAGTTTTGCAGGCCCGCTTTGAGGAAATTTTGCCTTGGGGAAGTTTGCAAATTTTTCTTTTTAGCGAATATGGTATGTGATTTTTGCGAGTGCGCGAGTTGGATACCGTTTATGCACTACGAGCTCCTGCGGGAGGGAGCGTGGCTATCGCCTTATGTTACCGTCCACTAGGGGGGCAATTAAATAAAAAGTCATTTTGCCTCCATGACTTTCAAGGCGCTATAAGTTACACTTTATTAAATTTTTATCGGACATTTTTACTACCATATTAAAGAGCACATTAAATACTATAACGATACTCCGCCACAGCCTTCTGGAGGAGCGCCATCGAGAGATTCGGCTGCGCGAAAGTGAGTGGGTCGGAGTTGAGCGAGATCGTTGATTTCTCCGGCCACTGTAGACCACCCTGTTGAGCTCCGCCCGAACTAGGTAATTGAGTGGGTTCAGGTCAGGGGACATACTTCCAATACTTACATCTTCATCAGGTACGAAACGCCCTTCCATTCGAAGTAGGCGGGAGTTTTTCCAAAACCCTTCGATTCCATGTGGTGGCACCCAAACCTGTAGCAGCACAAGGTCTCCAAGAAGGTACGGGCGACCACATGTAGGGAGGATATCCTTCTCGAGTTACTTGATGTAACCGCCAGCGCTCACCTTCAGTCGGGGTCTACAAAGAAAATATCGTTCTTCCCATTCCAGGTACGGCCGGTCCACACCATCAACCCGCGCTTGGTGAATGGGGTGAAGATGATGTCCTGGACCGTAGCGACGTTGCCGGAGCTGCTCGATGTGAGGTCTTGCAGATCAAGAGTACTGGTCTCCAGGTAGCTATCCATGGGTGATTCCATTCAAGAAGTTTTGCAGCTGTTTGGAGGTGACATGAATTCCAAAAGGTCTTCTCCAGTCAGGCTGCGACTGGA